TGTCAATACCAGAAGAGTCCTGAAAGGTCAACCCCTTATTTTACAGAGAAGGAAACTGAGGGGCTGAGAGTCATGTGACTTGCCCAAGGTCCTACAGGCTGTAAGTGACAAAACCAGGCTTTGAATCAAGGTTTTCCTAACCAAACATACTTTCCATGGCATCCTGCTGTTGAGGGCTCATTGGGAAAAAAAAAGTTGTCATGTCAGACAGGTCTACAGGATCTTTCGATCCTGTTCCCTATGGGAACAGAAGAAACTTTAGAAGTCATGTAGTCTATCCTCCTCACTTTATAGACAACTGAGGCACAAGGAGGTTGTGATTTGCCAAAGGTTAAACAGGTAGTTTCAGAGGAGGAATTTGATCAGGGGTGGGGAACCTGAGGCCTCAAAGGCACATGTGGCCCTCTAGGTCCTCAAGTGTGGCCCTCTGACTGAATCCAAACTTCACAGAACAAATCCCCTTAAAAAAAGGATTTGTTCTGTAAAATTTAGACTCAGTCAAAAGGCTGCACCCAAGGACCTAGAAGGCCTCATGTGGCCTCAAGGCCACTGCTTCCCCACCCCTGGATTTGATAACTATAAATCTGTCAGGTTTTTTTTTTGTTGTTGTTGTTATTGTTTCATGTAATATATAGCCAATTGATGCAATGAATTAATTATGATTGGTCAAAATGGATTGTGGGACTCAAGCATTGGCTTCTTTTTGGTCCGTAATGAATCACTGACCACTTTGATCATACTCAATCATGCATGATGCATAATGACTTGATTGTTAGTCATTCTTGACCAGGCTAAAAATAAAATATTTTGCAAAGATTTTGTTTTATTTGGTCAAAGGGTAAGAACATGTTAGAAATTTTCTTTGCAGAATTCTAAATTATTTTCTAGAATGGAACAAATTCACGGCTCCATCAACAATGATTCAGCATACCTGTTTCCCCATAACTCCTCCAACATTGAATATTTTCATCTTTGGTTATCTTTGCCAATTTCCTGGATGAGAAGTTAAACCTCAGAGGTTTTTTGTTTTATTTTGCTTTGATTTATTTTGTTTTCAGTTCTCTGTGGAGCAATCTGAGGTTATTAATGGTTTGTGATTCTTCTGAAGACTATATGTTCATATTCTTTTATCACTTATTCATTGGGGAATGGCTTTTGGTTTTCCATATTTGTGTTAGTTCCCTATATCTCAGATATCAGAACCATATTAGAGATATTAAATGCAAAGATTATTTTTATCCAATTGATCTCTTCCCTTATCCTAATTATACTGATTGTGTTCAGGCAAAAGATTTTCAAACTCATCTAACTGAAAATATCAGTTTTATCTTTTGTGATTGCCTATATTCTTTCAGAATTCAGAAGTTTCCCTTTACCATAGCGGTGAGCAGTATTAGGGTAGGTTGTTACTATTAATATTATACACCAAGTCCCATTATGGATAATTTGGATAACATTGAGATGTCTGAAGAGACAAGAAAACAAAACTATTAATAAAGAAAGCACTCTGATGTGGTACAACAAGGCCACAAATCTAGTTCTGGCATCAAATCCCAAGTAGAGAAGAAACACAAATATGAGGATAGCCATCTCCAATTTGTGTTTGCTTTTAGTGATACTGATGCTCTGCGGGTATTCTGTTACCACATTTTAAAATGTGATTCCATAGTTATGGCAGTTTTATGAATGATTCTCAAGCAAAACAGAAAACTTAAAGACAAGACTCTAAATCTGAAAGCCAAAATGTGATGAATGGAAACATATTCACCCTCTCCCCTCTTGTTCTCTCCCCTTCTTCTCCCTCCCCCTCCCCATACTGGTTTATATAAGATGAAAAAGTAGACATTACTGTATCTCACAAAGAGAGCTATTGAATTAAAATCTTTCCCAGTGTTTAAACACTTGTTAATGGCAAATAATTCCACCCTTCTCATTAAGTAGTTTACAATGCTGTTAGGTTTTAGGGAAAAAGTGCTCTGATAATAGAAATTAAAATTTTTAAATTTGCCTTCTGTTATTTGCTGTCATCAAGAGTTGGCGTTAAAGTTTTGTTTGAGAGATTATATTACACAGGCACCACTAAAATTCTGTAGAAAGTGAAGGTTTCTATCAGTGCTAAGATAATATGAGGACAACTATGTTACACTAACAAAATGAATGGAAATGTATTCCTTTTTTTGCTTTTTGGTGAGGCATTTGGGGTTAAATGAGTTGCCCAGGGTCACATAGCTAGTACGTGTCAAGTGTCTGAGGCGGCATTTGAACTCAGGTCCTCCTGACTGGGGGGGTTGGAGCTCTATCCACTGCACCACCTAGCTGGCCTGGAAATGTATTCTTGATGAGAACATGGGAAAGATTATATGGATATAGTGGTTTCAGAATGGCACAGCAGGAAGAGCACTGGTTCCGAAGTCAGAGCATTTGGGACTTTCCTGGGCCTTAGTTTAATTATCTGGAAAATGAGGAGATTAGATTCTATGACCTCTGAGGTCCCTTCCAGCTCTAATGTCCACAATCCTATAAAAAAAGGTGCATGACTCCGACAAAGATTGTCTTCAAGAAAGAGAATCTTAATGCTGACTTGCTTTTCAGTTGATTGTCTGTCTGTCATCTCTTGTAGATGCCTGGTTGAGAACAAAGGAGATGTTGCTTTTGTGAAACACACCACTGTCCTGGAGAATGTAGATGGTACGTGACTACCTCTAATTTTTGACTGTCCACATAGTCATGCTCTCCGATGGGTCAGCACCTTTGCTAAAGTGAGTTAGATACATAGGGAAATCCATGACCCCCTCTGAGCTCCAGATACAATTTGATTCCAGTGAACCATGAAGTCAGGACCAAGGGTGGCACGTGGATCTTTATACCAAACTTGCACAATTCATTTCAACAAAGAATGATTGAGTATACATATTTATGCAGAGTATATATGGTTATGATAGGTGCTAAGGGAAGCAGTGGATTGTAATGAAAAGAGCACTTGATTTAGAATTAGTCCTGAGTTCGAATCATGGCATTACTTATTGGGCATTTGGCAGTCCTCCTCTCAAGATTTTAGTTCCCTAAATTGTAAAAGGAAAGGGCTGGATATTAGTTACTTTCTTAGGTTCCTTTGAGCTACAGTATTCAATTATGTATAAAGCATAGATAAGATTCAGGCCCAGATCTCTTGCAGTTTACAGTATGATAGTTTAATGTGAGACATTCAACAATTGTGTCTCAGACCGTGATGCAATCAGTAGCATCCCTATGATTCATTCCCTACAGGAGAAAAACTGTCAGAGTAGAATGAGGGAAGTATAAAAACATGAAGCCTATGGAAGAGACAATGACAGGTTGATTTTGGGTAGAGCCCAGACTCACATGAAGGAATAGTGGGAGACAATAACGGTCCTTGCCTGGCATGAAGACTAGCTAGTCTTCTGCACAGAGGTGGTCGACCATTCACATGATGGTCAAAACCATTTGAATGAATAAATGAATTCTTTCAGGGACCAAAGGAACATAGATTTAGAGCTAGAAGGGACCTCAGAGCTTATCATCTAGTCAAACTCCTTCCTTTTACTGATGAGGAAACAGGCCCAAAGGAGTTCCACATCGTGCTTAAGACCACAGAGGTTATTACAGATAGAGGTCAGGATTTGAATCTGGGTCCCCAGACTCCAAGTCCAGAGCACTCTTTTCACTGTCCATCACTTCTCCTCCAGCAGCATGATGAGGGATAGATTAAAAAAATGAAAAGGCTGATGTTGAAATCTATTCACATGAGTGTGCTAATATATGAGACATAGGGTATTCTTTGAAAATCTGTGAAACAGCTTTCAGAATTGACTCCCCAAAGAATTTCATCCCCAAGGGGAACCTGGCAAGCGAGGTATAGAAGCTAGTGCTAAATGTCTGGGAAGTAGTCAGAAGGTTCAAGTTTTTTGTCTTTTTCCATTAATACTAAGAGGTATTTGGAAACAGAAGACCAAATTACATTCTCCTTAGCCTTGAAACCAGAGGTTTGGTTTGAACCTCAAGAAAAAGTGTGATGGGTGGAGGTGGTCAGGAGAGGATGAATGATTGGTCATGGAATCTGAAGTTGAACTCTCTTCCGGGGGGGGGAGGGGCAGCAGATTTTTTCTTCATTTCCTACATCACCATGGCATAGATGTATAGATTTTATAAAGCAACAAATTAAATCCCTAGGTACTCATAATTATATGGATGATAGCCTATGGATTAACAACTAGCCAAAGTCAAAATGGCTGCTGTTGATAGTCACTTTCATTCTCATTTCAGGAAAGAATACAGAAGCCTGGGCAGCAAACCTGGAAAGTAAAGGCTTTGAGTTGTTATGTTTAGATGGAAGCAAGAAGGAAGTGAACAAAGCACCAGAATGTCATCTGGCCAAGGCACCAAACCATGCTGTGATCTCACGGAAAGATAAGGCACTGTTAGTTCGCCAGGTGCTATTGAATCAACAGGTCTGTATATTTCAGGGCCTGCCATCCCTTTTCCTTACTTAATTGGACTTGAATCAGTCCATAGGGTCCAGAACCCAATCACTTAATCTTGTTTCTACTTAAATCTGGAAGGAGGTCATTGGTTGTAGTCATATGTTAATGCTATTGCTCTGTTGTGAATCTCTAAGTAGAAAGAAAGGAAGAACATACAAGACCCCTATGTAACCCTCTGTAAGTGAGTTTTCTGACCCAAGAACAGAGGGGTATGAAGTTTTTCAATCTCTGTTTCTTCCTGAGCTTGTTGGGAGATTACCTATACTCACCCTATTTCACTTAGTTCTTTCCTTTATAGAGGTGAGAATGATGGTATATGTAATTGGTTTGTCAAATGACCTGGGTACAAGTTATGAGAAATAGATTTGGTTTTGTTTTTGCTGATTTGCCTTTTTAAAATTAAAATTAAAATAGTCAGAAATAGCACTGGTAGAACTTAGCACAGCACTGGGCACTGTGAAAAAGACATTGTCTCTGAATTCAAGATATCACAAGAATGGCAAACTAAATGAGCATTCCAGGGAAGGTCTTTACTTGTATATTGACGGAACAGGTAGCTGCTGCCTAATTGTTTGATTGAAGGGGGATCCTGAAAACCCCTCTGCTCTCCCACTTGGATGACATGCTGCCCCAGATCCTACAAATTATTCCTTTAGATAAAGGTATATTATATTTAGGAAAGCTGTTTTAAATTTCCCTTCAGTAGGGTAGTATGTTAAGTGGAAATCCTTCAGCATCTGAGAAGACAGTAGCATAGCTGTCAAAACAAGGCTCTAAGGAGAACATATAGAAGAGAAGTAAGTTTTGATGGATGGTAGAGGTGGTGTTGATCATGTTAGGAAGGGAGAATGTTGACAAGGTAAAAATAAAAACACCAGGGGTCAATTTCAGTTGCTTTGAAGCTTCCTCTAAAGCTGATCCTGAGCAAACCATTTTTCTCCCATTTTTTCCTGGATGTCTGCTGATAATGTATCTGTCTCTTTAACCCAGAGTCGGTTTGGAACTTATGGGAATGATCGAGAAACTTTTACTATCCTCCCCAAAACCAAAAACCTCCTGTTCAAGGACAACACTGAGTGCTTGGCAAAACTCCCAGATGACATCACTTATGAAAGATTCTTAGGACAAGAGTATGTCACAGCTGTTGGCTCTCTCAAGAAATGCTCAATTTCCCGTAAGTAGATGGAAACGTTATGGGGGAAACAGGGAGCAAACAACTAAATGGACTTGTTAGGAACACAGGAATCATAATGTCTGAAAAATATTGAGTTATCTGCTATGGGTCCAGCACTGTCCAAGGTGTTGAAGAGACAAAAACTAATTAAATGGTACTCAACTTCTGTCTGACTGTCTCTAATAAACAGTCATGTGGAGGACTGGATGGTGACCACAGGGACTCCCTTCAGCTTGCTGTTGGCCCTTTTCTTCTCTTTTCAGCATTAGTTGGTCCTGGATATAATCCATGGCAACAGGGCTAGTGGTGAAGAGGAGGGTAGAAGAGAATAACTTCAGTTGTGTCAAGAAACATTCATTAAACATTTATAATTATGTGCCAGACACTCTACTAAGAGCTTTGGATACAAAGAAAATCAAAAACCAATCAGAAAAATCCATCTCCTTACTCATCACAACCTTTGGGCCCATCCAAGATCCCACTCCTCAACTCCTCCGACTGTCCCTCTCCCCAAAAGTACAAAGGGAGAGTCTGAGAATGGCTTGACTTTAAAATTCAAATGACTCTCCTCAAAGAGCTACCATTTGTACCTAAGTGTGTGACTGTCTTTTCTTATAGAAAAAAATGCTGTCTAGGTTATGCAGTGGACAGATTGCCAGGCAAGTCAGGAAGACCTGAGTTCAAATCTGGCCTCAAACACTTACTAGCTGTATGACCCTGGGCAATTTGTTTAACCTCTGTCTGACTCAATTTCCTCAACAGGGGATCATAATAGCATCTGCCTCCCAAAGTTGTTGTGAGGATCAAATGAGCTAGTATTTGTAAAGGGCCTGATACGAAGTAGGCACTTAATAAATGCTTGCTCCCTTCCCTCTGTAGAGAAATAGAAAAGAAAGAAGGGTGAAGGGGTACAAGAGGGAAGCCTCCTTTTCTTTTCTGCTCCTCTCCTCACCACTTTGTCAACAAGAAAAAAAATAAGTCTTAGAGAATTCAAAAGAGCTATGTGCTACAATATAGTTGACCCAGGGAAAGGAAGGGAGTTTGATTCAGAAGAGAAAAGAAAGTGGACTGGTTTGTCTTTGGGGCACCCAAGAGAAAAAGGGATGTTTGCCAAGAAAGTTCAATGCACATGGGAAGAAGTGTCCCTGCAAGTTTCCACTTGCAGGAAGCTCTGGAACCCCATAGCTTTTGCATCCCCAACTCTTCCCAGGCCCTCTACAACCTCTGCTCAGGCTGGAATCACTGACTCTGGCTCACAGGAGGCAGCTCCAGTGGCTTGGAGCTTGAGGAGAGCTCTACACAAAGCAAAAGCTGGACTAGATGACCTTTCTGGCTCCCATCCAGCCCTAAAAATGTGTGTGTGTGTGTGTGTGTGTGTGTGTGTGTGTGTGTGAGTGACATCAGAATAAATAAGAAACAGACACAGGAAGATATCATAATAGGAAACTAATAAACAGCCATTTGGAAGGCTCTGATTTTGTGGGTATGAGGCTGGATAAGGGCACTCTTGGTAGCTAAGTTGAAAAGGGAGCGTGTGGCCAAGGCAGGTACCTAATCCCATTAAGAGATGGGTGAGGGAGAATTGTTTCTAGGCTTTCTCTTCCTTGACTATAATTTCTAGTATTCTGTTGTTTTACATGTTGCAGAAGGGTGGGAGCAGAATTGTTTTTAGCAAATAGCTGGCAGAGTCCAAATAACTGTCCATCCCATTTTTTTCCCCACAGCTCTCCTGCCTGTCTGTGAATTTCACAAATTCTAGAAAGCCAGGAAAGTGAGACTTCCTCCCATGAGGGACTAGCCACCAGAATGCTGTACTGGTCTTTGCTGTTCTCTTTCCGGACCGCCCAGTGTGGTGGGGACCTCCTTCTTACCTCCTTTTAACAGATGACCCTAGAGGGGAATAATGTCTTCAACCTTCCCACTTCCCTGCTGTCATCTGAACAATAAATAAAGTGGAAGAATGTCAGTGATTCTGTGTCTTTACATTAACTTTCCTTCACATCTCATGCTTTTTTCTTTCTAGATTGCTCTGCCATATTGCAATTCCAATTTTGTTTTAGACTAGATACGTGATTTCATTGGTACAAGGAGCTCTCACTAAGGAAACTAACACTACCAGTGTAGACCAGCTCCTGTTCAGTCAGCTACAGGCTTAAGAGTGGTCCAGAGACACTGAGAGCTTGGCTTGTTCGGGGTTACCTAGCAAGGAGCAGAAATAAAACTAGCTCTTTCAGGCTGAGGCCAGCTTTTATTCACTATGTCTTGCTGTTCTCTGCAACACTGGACCTGGAATAAAATATGCTTTATAGCTAGATCCCTCCTTAAGTTTCCACAGATGTTGGGGTATCCTGGTCAATGTTTAACAACAGGCTCCCTGAAAACACAGAACATACTTTTAAGTTCCATCTGTATTATTAACATTTTCATCATCACTTTCTTAAGACTAGAAATCAACAAAATAAAAATCAAGCCCTGATCTGTAGCATTTACTGATTTCTGAGAGACATAAATGCTCACAGTGAAAATTTAACAATTGGCTCAGTAAAAGCTGACTTCAGCACACCCCTGATTCTTCTTGTTCTCTGACGGTACCAGGGGCAGCATCCTAGTCAAGTCACCTAAGTGAGAACCAATCAGTAGTTTCTGCTGAGAGGGTCTAGGCCAGAGGTTCCCAAACTTATTAGCTTGCTGCCCCCTTAAAAAAATTACTCAGTGCCCCCCTGGGAATCTATTTTTTTTAACCCTTTAACTGTTTTGAAATTTGCATCATTTAAAAAAGCAAAATTTTTAAAAAAGATACATCTTAAATTTAATAATTTTTTTGTAAATTTGTGTTTGTTCTGCACTGAAATTTTGATGACTCAATATTGCATCATGTAACTGTATGGTATCATTTTGTAAACAAGTCATTACATGCACATGTTACTGCTGATGCATGCTGGACTTCCTGACAATGTACAACATGCTCACCTGCCAACACTGGCTTGTTAAGACCTGTGGTGGACTTGACCACTGATTGGTTATAACTTGCATTTTGTATGTTTATTTGGAAAATAATGTTATCACTGTGACTTTAACTGTTATATAACAGATGAAACAGTTATGAATGATTTTTCAAAATTTTCTTATCTTCTCCTTTCCTTAAGCTTCCACCACTCCCTTATTTTTATCCAATGCCCCCCAAATGCACTTGAGGCTACTACCACCCCATTTGGATCATTTCACACCCTCCTTCACACCTATGACTCTAGGCAGATACTCTGAAGAGGGCAAAGGACATGGTGCTTGAAAGAGGAGAAAAATGCAGGGAAGATGTCTCTGTTGTGATATCATAAGTTAGATATATCAAGTACAGGAAAAAACACATTAAGTGTGAGACACAGGATAAAAAGGCTTACTGTGCAATCTTAGAGATGTACAAGGACCATCAATTTCCAACCTTGCCAAACTCCTGTGTTATTTTCTAAATACTATACCTTTCCTCTATTCACCTGGGCTCTATAATGACTATACCAACATGTCAGTTAATACAATAACTAGCCAATCAAAAAGACTTCTGAAGCCCAAACCTGCTAGACATACTTGATCTTTTGTGAGTAAACTCAAGGTGAATTTGGAGATCCCTGTTGCTGCCAAAAACCAAACAGCTCAAAGGTGATCTTAAGCAACAGCTGCAGACTCAAGACCTTGCTCTGGACTTTCTAAACATCCTGGCTTATTGTGTCTACAGATGTCCTCTCCCTCTCCTCCTCCCCCCCCTCCCCTGCTCCTTACTATGGTGTTTAAAAAATTTGAGACATAATTTCTGGGTAATTTAATCATTTTATGAACAATGCCATCATTTTTAATAAATGGGCCAGTAGTATTCCTGAATGCCAAAGACAATCATGGCAGTGGGCTCATGGCTTATATACCCTTTGGAAAAGGGGTGTTCCCAAGGGTGGCAATCAACTCTGATTGGTTAACAATTAATGAGAGAATAAATATTACAATGATGTCCTGAGAGTGACATCATGTCAAAGAGAGACTACCCCTATACCCAGACCACCCCCAACCTTGGGCAATCTAGTCAAAGAATTTATTCCCTCCCATACCTGAGTAGAGCACAATGGCTTCCCCACCTAGGTGAGGTGCAATCTCATTATCAGTAATGTCCTTCAAGAGACTGAACTTTTGAAATCAGTACTTTAGAAAAAGGGGGGAACTCTGGACCTTCCCAAATCATTGGTTATTAAAAATTGTTTCTCTCACCACCTGAAAGCCTCTAGAAACTATATTATCTCACTCTTTTCCCACTCCCCTTAGAGCAGCTAAGAACTCTCTCTCCCTCTCTGCTCCCTTGCAGTATCTTCTCTCCCCTGCAAGCCTGTTTCTCAGACAATAAGGCCTTGTAATCTGTGGTCAGACTCTGTTTCATTTCAGGTCCCTTTATGGACTTAGGGGTCTTTTCTTAATGCCTCATACTCCCCACCCACTGCAGTGTTTCTTGCCACATTCAATGCTCAAATACTACAATGCTTGTATGATGTCATTGATTTGGAAAGTCCTTCCAATGATTCAGGTCACAACTCATCTATTCCTACCTGTGTGACCCTTGTCCACATCCTTTCATAAGTTTGCCACAGGGCTTCCACCTAGAGTGCTTTAAGGCCATCTACCCTTTCTCCTGACATCAAGAGAGGCTTTCAGTGGAGTACCTTGACTATGTGCCTGTCATCTCTTTCTCTTGACACATGAATAGCCTATCTTGTCTTTTCATAATATATTTTTGATGATTTTTTAAAATAACATTTGGAAATTCTGAGACTCATTCTCAGCAAGATCCTTCCAAGTCACTGCTGGGTTTTGAGGTCTTTGTTCTGGGGGAAAGAATCTTTTCTGTATGTGTATGCAAGGGAACTATTTATCCCTTTGTTGTTGTTGTTAAAATGGGAATGGGAAGTCAATATAGAGTCCAGAAACTTAACTTTTAAAAAAATATCATTGGCAACATAAATGAGCACTACAAAAGATAATGAAAGGCAGAAAGCCTTAGCCTCCTAGGCTTTTTTTTTAATGTGATCCTATGTTTCTAGGAATAAATTCAAAGGAGGCCCAAATAATTATGAAATTAGAGATGGAGGGGACATAGACATCGCCTAGTCCAACATCCTGATGTTACTGATAAAGTTAGGGGAGGTGACTTATCCAAAATCACACAGAAAGTACTTAGTAGAGTTGTGCTTTAATCTCAGGTTTCTATCACTATGCTGCTGACTAGATGATGTCTAAGACCCTTTCAGCTCTAAAGGTAAATACAAGTGACCAATACAAAGTGATTATATAAGGATGAAGTGTTTACATCCTAGTGGGGGAGATGTTACAAGTGTCAACCCTATTATCATAAGGAGTCATAGAATGAGTTAAATAAGATTGAGAGGTCCTGGAAGTGGTTTTGATAATCTTAAAAAGAAGAAAGGAAAGGAAAAGGATACACTAGGGAAGAAAGGGGGAAGTAAAAGGAGAGAAACTTATCTCACATAACCAAGGTGCATAAGTAGAAGTGTATGCAAACAAAGGATAGAAGAGCAGGTGTCACTTGAATCTCACATTCATCTGAACTGATCAAAGAGAAATAGAACGCACAAGCACATATGTGTCCATGTGTATCTGTATGTATGTGTGTATATATGTATATGTATTATTATACAGAGAGAGGGTGAGAGAGAGAAATACATTAAACTGAACAGAGGAACAGAAATAGAATGCATTAAACTGAAACAGGAAGAAACAGTACTTAATCCTTTTGGGAGCACCCATGTACTTTTCTGAGTTTGTTTGAGTTTAAGCTAGCCCAATTGCCCTAATGAGGAGTTAGTTTGTACCTTCAGTTGGTATGCCTTAGTGGTTTCAGGGTCCGTTAGAAAAACTACAGGTATTTCTATGTGTTGCTGAGACCCAGAATAATTTTTATTCAGGTAGTTTGGTTTCTCACCTGAAGGTAAAGGAATGACTTCCAATTAACCTCAGGTACTCTATCCCTACTGGGAGTTCAGTTGTAACTAGACTTTCCCTCTGAGATGAGAGAGCTCAATTTTCTTTCTTTCTTCCCTTTATTGGCTTTGGATTTGGAACAGGCCTTACAAGCACCAATACAGACAATAACCTCTGAAAATTTGGAAATTTTACAGGATGGTGAGTCTTTGTTGAATTTCATAACAATGATTTTATAGTGAAAGAATCTCCAGGTCTGCCAGCTATGGTAGGTCTGGACCCTCATTGAAGATTGTTCATCTTTTTATTAATTTATTTTGATTTATCATCAATCACTTCCATAAGCTTTTGAGTTTTTAATTTTCCTCTCCCTCTCTCCCCACCTCCCTTCCTAAGACAGCAGGCAATCTGATGTAGGCTATACATACACATTCCTATTAAACATATTTTCAGATTAGTGATGCTGTAAGAAAGAATTAGAACCACTAGGAGGAACCACAAGAAAGAGGAAGCAAAACACAACAGAAGAAAAAAAAATAGCAAATAGTATGCTTCGATCTGCATTCAAACTCCATAGTTCTTTCTTTGGATGTGGATAGCATTTTCCATCATGAGGCTTTTGGAGATGTCTTAGATCCTTGCATTGCTGAGAAGGGCTAAGTCTATCAAAGTCAGTTATCACACGACGTGACTGTTACTGTGTACAACATTCTCCTGGTTCTGCTCACTTCACTCAGCATCAGACCATACAAGTCTTTCCAGGTTTTTCTGAAGTATGCCTGCTTATCATTTCTCATAACACAATAGTATTCCATCACATTCATATACCACAACTTGTTCAGCCAGTCCCCAGTGGATGGGCATCCTGTCAATTTCCAATTCTTTGCCAGCAGAAAAAGAGTTGCTATAAATATTTTTGTACATGTGGATCCTTTTCCCATTTGTATGAGCACTATGGGACACAGCCCTAGAAGTGCTATTGCTGGGTCAAAGGGTA